TTAGTTTAAATGGAATAATTTAGGAAATTAATGATTTAATGGTGTTTGTGGATTGGATTGAATCTATTTTGAAAGAAAAAATCACCTATTTTAGATTTTTCAGTTTTATTCTTTAACAATCCAACCAATTTGGTTTAAGGTTTAATTTAATCCAATACAATTCATATATATTTTAGTTATTTATCTCATGTAAAATGAATGTATTTTAATTTTAGTTATTTGACACACATAAGTAGATGAACTACTTCATTAACAAATTTATTTAAACACATTCAAATTATAAATTTAGTTAAATAACCTAATAAGTACTAATAATCTATTACACTTGGCTTAAAAAAAAAACTCTTATCTCATTATTTTTTAAAAAAATTAATTAACTATATTTTAACACAAAAGTATAATTTATTAATTATATTTAAGATTTTCTTCTTAATTAATGTTAAACTAACTTTTGGACATATAATAAACATTCTTTTAATAATGATTAATTATATATTATTATGTAATACTCAAGCCTTACATTATACGTTTAAAACAAATATATTAAGTCGGTTCAACTTAAAATCAATTTAGAAATTATTTTTAAAATCAGTTATAATTTAAACCGATATAAAAAGAGCTTTTTATATTAGTTATTTTATAATTGATGCAAAATAGTTATTTCAATTTATAAAATTTTTAAGCCACTACTTTTTATATTATTTATTACACAACCATTGTATAGAGGAGTAGGAGAGACCTTAGCCGCTTTGCCATCCCACTCTCAGATCTCAATTATGCAAAAAGTTGTTTTCCAAAAAGAAAGAAAGAACATATAAAGCAAATGCATGCAAAAATCAATTATACATCCGTATCACCCACCTCATAAGAGCTACCTACCTCACTTTTTGATCTTAAACTTCTCAAATTGATTAAGCATGCATGCATTAACCCCAACAAGTAGATATAATAAATTAATGAAAGTAGAGTAAATATCCTCACTATTTTTTTTTCTCTTATTTTTTTCATTACTAAATTTTAAAAGTATAAATATCACACTTCTTAAAAATATGTATCAACTTTATTAATTTTATTTTATTAAATTCTTTTTAAAAGTTTAGGAGATGGAAAAAATTGAGAGATTCATTTTTGTGAATGTATTGATGACACGATAAATATACTTTCAAATACAATGACTTCTTGTGTGTGCCATACTTAATAATATTAACACAACAAATTAACCATTAGGGTTAACCTAGTGGTTGGGAGGGAAGGGGTCAGGATAGTTAGAAGCATGAGGACATAGGTTCAATCCTCATTGCGGCCATCTTTGTAATGTTTCCTTTACAAAAAATAAACACAGCAAATCACATAGTGACTTATGAGATACTACTATTAAGTCATAGTAAAATATTAAGAATTTCTTTAGATAAACCTTTTAATAAACATTTTTTAAGAGATAAAAATAAAAATAAAAAAATTAATTTTTTATAAATTAAAATAATTGTTTTAAAAAATTTATATAAAAAACTTTTACAAATTAACATAGAGTAACGATATTAAGAGGTCTTATCATAAAAAATTCTAAACATCTTTTTTGTTTGGGGGGAGGGATTTTGTTAATATTCTTTTCAACCCAACCAATGTTACTCAAGGGAGGATCCAAATCCAGATATAATTTTGTATAGATTCAACTACAAATTTAATTAACAATCTGTTTGAGTAAACTTTTTAATAAATATTTTTAAAAGATTAAAAATATGAAAATAAAATAAAATAAGTTTATTTATAAGTTAAAAATTAACTTGTGTATAAACTAATTTGTAGAAGTTTTTTCCTTTTAATTTCTTCAAAATCTTATTTTTAATTATTACATAAATTAGTTTAATTTATATAAAAAAAAAATTTATTCCTATTTTTCTCTCTTAAAAGTGGTTTTGAAAAAATCCATCCAATTAGCCTCGGGTACTTCTCTTCTATCTCTAGACAAAGTTTTTTCTTTCCAAACCTTTGTTTGCTTTCAGACCCAATTTCAGACAAAATTAAACATTTGTTTGTTATCTTTGATGGCTTTCAATTGTCTTTATTCTAAAAACTCTCTTCAGGTCATTGATTCTGGTGGTAGACACGTTTTAAACCACATAAAAGTTCAGTTTTTTTCATTTTAGTGAGATCGCATGATTGGAAAAGAAAAGAAAAATTAACGACAAAGAAAAAAACCATTTTTTAACATTTTCCCCCACAGTCCTGTTAATTATCATCATTTTCAAAGGTTAAAAGTTACATTCATCTTTTCTTACCAGTCTCGTATAGAATCTATTGAAAAATTAAGATTCTTTTTTAAGAAATCTTAAGTTTTTTTTTCTTCACTTTTCCACGAAAGATTTCATTACCAACGGTCCATAGACGTATAAAGATTATTAAAGTGATTTTTTTTTTCTTCTCTCGTGACTTAATCTTAAGATATAATATAGACTCTTATAAAAGTAATCAATATAATAAATAACTCTTATAAAAAAAGATATAATAAATAGCACATCTTCAAAATCTGTTGAATTTATTTAATGGAAAATGTTAATCATTGTCCTTTATGTTCTGGTTAAGGAATAAAAGTAAAAAAATTATATTAAAAAATATTTTTTACATTCCTCTATTTAATTTTATTTTAGTTTTCAATATAGACTTTCTATATATTAATTCTTTAATTGGTGTTCTAAGGACACTGATTAACAAATTTTTTTAAATGACTATTTATTAAAAGAGTAATAAATGAGTTTTATGATGAATATAAAGTATAAATAGGGGTAAGAAAAAATTAAAATAATTTTAAATTTATCTACAACTAATTCAATTCATATTAAAAAAATCTGATTCGTTTAAAGGAAAAATTTAAATCAAAAAATTGGTTTGATTATTTCATCTATTTTTATAAAATGAATTAATTTGGTTCAATTTTTTTTATTTAAAAATCAATTCACATAAAAAGTGGATAGAACTAATCCAATATTTCTTAAAAAAATTAAACTAATATATTTCATAAAAAGACAAATTAATTAATCAATTTATTTTCATAAAATGAATTGATTTGGTTTGAATTTTTTAAAAACTCGATCCATGAATACCTCTAACTATAAACTAGTTAAGAATGAAATGCTCTCTCAAAAAACTATAAGTTCCACCTAATTATATTTTTAAAAATAAAATCAAACTTCATTTTTATGACCTCCAAAACTATTTTCTATTTTGGTAAAAGCAAAACTGATTTTCTATTTAAATTCAAAATTTTGACATGACATCCCAATTGAAAAGCACTTGGGTGGAGCATAGCGTATTTTGATTCAAAAATTGATTTAAAATAATCTGTCTAATTTAAGTGGATTTGTGTTTTGTGGATGTTTTCGTACGAGTTATACTCATATAGTGACTGTTTTAAAATTTTTGTAGGTTCATATATATGTGTGTCTAGCGTGAGATGAGACTAATATTCGTTAGTGATAATAAGGTTGTTCATATCCACATGTTTGTCTTCACTTTCTAACTTTGCAAAAATCCTTCAACAATCAAATTCATTTTTGCTTAACACTTAAGCCACTCTTTATAAATACACTAAAGTCACGTACTGAATATTCATTGATTTTTTTGTTGTTGAAAGAACATTAAAATGGATATTAAATTAATAGGTAGATTATTAACCGTTTTACTGAAAATAAGTTACTTTTTTTAATTATAGGATTGTATTAGATAACATAGACAAATTATAATAAAAAAATATTGACAAACAACGCAATAGCACAATTCCTAGCCAAATTTAATTATCAGAATTTTGATTTTGAATAATTTATTTATAGTTTAACAAGCATTAGTGATCATTAACGAGATGAGACTTACTTGAAACAAGTTAAAATATAAAAATCAAATTATTAAAGCTAACATTTTTTTTTCCAATACATAGACCGAAGTTTGAGTATTTAAAATAAAGATTACATTATCCAAGCCACTGTTTTAAAGTTGAAGACTAAAATCAAAATTTAATAAATTTCAGACATATATATGGCTCTCTTTATGTGCTTAAGGCAAGTGAGTTTTATTTATTAATTACTATATGATGGATTAGATTTAAATTAAGGTATAGAGCTATACCAAGTGGTGGAGTTAACTTTTAGCAACTGATTGAAGCCACAAGAAGACCAACATTCGTTTTCTCCTTCGTCTTTAAGTATCTCCAATTATATCATTTTCTAATTAACTTTCTATCATTTTTTATTTGTAGGTAAGACACCCATTAAGGTTTAGTGAAAATTATATAAGATTAATGAGGAATCTGCATTTATTCTCCATGGTGCTGAATAGTTGATTAGTGAAGTTATCAATAATACATGAAACAATTAGATTTACTATAGTGCTACTCCTATACATGATAAGAATATTCGATTGAGAATTCATCAATCAATTTATTATCTGTGTGCGACCTAATCCATGTACAACTAACTACTGGCACAAATCAAATGCCCATTTATTATACACAATCATTAATAAATGAAATTAGTTGGCAAGTAATGAACTCCACTTCATCCCTAAGCACAAAACACTTTGAGGGCTACGTCGTAACTTAATTTGATGTTTTTTTTGTTAAATGTTGTCGGTAGCAAAATTGCAAAGATTGGTTCTTGAACAAGACACAAGTTTAAGATTCAATTTAGATAATTAAGTATATAATTAATATAATGAAATAAAAAAATGAACAGATTAATTTTATTACTTATTTTTTGTTTCATAACCTCAAACAACGCTCGAAAAGAAATAGAGATACTATGAAATATGAACCATGGTTAGGACCTTGTTGGGTTGATCTTGCTGAGCCCATTGAATTTTTCTTTTTTTATTACAAGCAATAGTTCAAAACACGTACAACATTTGAATTTTCATAACAGAGTTCAGAATAATATTAGACAATGATAATCATAAAATGAAATGCAATAGTTACCTTCTATGATTGTTATTGAGCACAATAAAGCGACGAATATCAAAATAATTGATGTCTACCTTTTCATTGACACAAAAAAGGGATTACAATTTTATGAAATTTGAATTTCCTGTAGTTTAACGAATATATGGTTGGTAAAGGAAATGCACCGACTTAAAGTTACACAAAACTTATTAAACAAATTTGATTTACACTCATTACAAGTTCCCTAGAAATTGAAAGAACCCCAAAATATACGAGATCTCAAAATTAAAGAGATGGAGCATGTTCTTTCAAATAACAGAATCCTTGTTTAATTTCTTAGTTTCATGATTTTCGTCGTTCTGATTACCCACGTTTTTCCCGGCCAAAAGGGGTGAGCTATCTTTGTCTTTGACCTGTAAAGAATAAGAAATGATTAAGCAAATTGTCATAAACATTTAAAATCATATCGGGAATTATGTTATTAGACTATTCAAAATCATATTGAAGCATTACTTAACGTAATTTAGGTAAATTTATGCATCTTTATCTCATATTTAAGAATTGATTTTGAGTTCAAGCAGCTTTAAACAATTTTTTATATTAGATAAATAAATTTATACCAAATATTTCTATTAACTTGTTTTTAAAATAAAAATATATTAATCAATAAGTTATTGATTTAAATAAAATTGAATCCGATCATCTTAAACAAAATTTCAAATTCAAATTTTGTAGATAAAAAAAATGATTAAGGAGACCTTATTAAAAGTAATTAATCAAATTCTTTGACAAAATTAATTATTAATAAAATTAATGAATACTTTTCATCGATAATATAGTTATAAAAAAAACTTAATCTTTTAACATAAGTCAATTTGCTTCAAAATCAAGAAAGGTAGAAGATAACTATAAGTACCTGAGAGGCCAATGGGAGATCACTAGGTAATTGTTTCTTTTTGTTCTCCTCAGTGCAGAAATAAGAGTACAAACCCATCCCAAAAATGGCAACAAGTATTCCAATAATGTTCCTTCCGGTGAAAGGGTCATGGAGTAATGTGTAGCCAAATCCTAGAACAAGGCACGTCTTGAGGTGGCCTAGCACTTGATAAGTAACAGGAGATGTTTTGCCTATCACCAAAAATGTGCTGAAGTTCACAGAAACAGCTATCAAGCAAGACAAGATGATGAATGCCTGAAGTTTTCATCAACAAAAACAACACATCCCCAAAAATTATAAGTCATATTTCATATGATAATCCTAGCAATTATACCTGCATATAGAAAAATTCCAGTAACAGATTTTCTTATATACTCTTGATTGATTAAAATTTAATTAAATAATGCAGATGAGATTCAATCATAATGTTATGATTTGTAAATTAATTTTAATATTGAAAGAGGTGTATTAGAAAAGAAATTACTATTATATAGTCTAAGAAGAAGGTCACGTATTTATAGTTTCAACCAATTTTCAAGTGACATATAATCGAGAATTTCATTTAAAAAAAAAAGGTTAATTACATTCAGTTATATCATGTGAAAAATGGTTGAGACTACAATAATTATAAATCATGTAATACGTTATTGTATTTAGAGAAATTATTACATGATATTATATATTACTATATCTATATGATTTGACTTATTTTCATACCATATGCAACTGAGAATAGTAAATTTAAGTCTAACTCAACCCTATAAAACCGGTTTGTAAGGTAGGAGTTGCTTTCCAGTTATATACTATTTAATTAGTTAATGATGTGAGACTTGAATTTTATTTTTCCTAATACACCCCTCACGTCTAACACTAGCACCATTGGACTTGGTACGTAGATAAATGGTAGGTGGTGGGTGACCCGTGGATAAATGGTAGGTGACCCTTTTTAATGATCTAGGATTGATAGGACTTAAATTTTTCTCAATAAACCCTCTCATGCTCATGGTGCATGTATCAATGGTGGGTGACCCATTTTTTTTAAGAATCTTGTAAGGTGGGGGTTGTTTTCCATTTACATACTATTTAATTGCTGAATTTCTAGTTAATGTGAGACTTGAATTTTTCCTAATAATATGCAACTGAGATTTTCAATTTAGGAGAAAGAGTTAACAAAACTCAGTCACATGTCACATGAAGAATAGTGGAGACCATAATAGTTGGGTTCTAGACTTTGAATGCATATTAAGAGTCAGTTTAGATACAATTTAGAAGGATTTTAAAAGGTTTCTTTACCGAAAATAAAGAATGTTTTTCAAAAAAGAAATTCTTAAAAGCATTTATGTATTTGTATCCAAACATGTTATACGAAGTATAATATAATATATGATGAGGATCTGATATCATACCAAGACAACAGGAGAATATTTGTAGGCAAAGACATTTTGCTTGGTGAGCATCTGATCCACAACAGGACCTGAAACAAAAAGAATCGCTGCTTGGAATGGAGCAGACTGGTAGAGAAGCTGTGTGGAAGAGACGTTAAGCTTCTTCTGAATTGTGTTGGTCAGCTAAATTGAACACCAAGTTAAGAAAATCCAAATATATATCCAATCTTCCTCAGCTTTAATTCATGTAATCAATGATCAAGTCTAAACCATCATAATTAATTGATAACAATAAAAATTAATTGAAGACAATAATTACATGCTGCAACTGGAAGAGTGAGTACTGATCAATAAAGGATACAATTTGGCCAACACATGTGGTTATGATTGCTAGAAGGGAAAGAATGGTTCCCACAAAATTGAGCTGAAGATCTGTGATAGAAGCAATACCAACTCCCACAAGTAATAGGAATAAAGAGAATTTTATTTTCGTGCTGCACGTATTAGCATAAGGTTTTACATTAACACGTGACAAATTTTTAATTTGAATATTACAAGTACCAACTACCAAGTCTTTTCAGCAATTTATTACCTGAATTGCTTCTTTAGGAAAAGGGTTTCTAATAATACGGTGAATGGTATGATTGCAAGTTTTGTCATCTGCAAAATAAGGTAAAATCAATACGTATAGAATGATTCTGAAAACAACGTTAACTTATAGTATCCTAAACATTTGGTTTCTAATGCTATTATGGCAGTAAAATATTGAGGTGAAACCTGGTAGAATCCAATGGAATTAAAGCCCAGACTCAAGTTGAGAAATCCAATGGAGACTCCATTTAGAATACCAAAAAGCATGACAGTTTTCAAGTCAATGGATTTGGACACGAATAGATTCAAACGTTGAGCAGCATGAAGGGTGCAAAATGTGACCATCAAATGCCAACTAGTAAGTGTTGTGGCTGGTTCAAATGGAATAGAAAAAAATTGTTAGAGGGATAAGATATGAAGATACTAATAAATTTTAGTGTTGATAACCAAAATTATATGATTTTTGAAGAGTGAAGAAAATGAGTGTTACCGAAAGGGAAGCCAAGATTGCTCATCAAGGCTTTGTTGCAGATCACAATGGATACAGAAGAAGCCACTGAGAGAAATAGTGCACCAATAACACCCAATTGGAAGTTTGACATCTCTCCCATCTTTTCTGTCAAAATATTTTTCAAGATTCTTCAAAGTGCAAAATTAGAAATTTATATCTTCAATTCACTTTTGTGAAATGAAATTTTCATAAAGCCATTTCCTGCATTGTATTCCAGTTTAATATTATCATCCAATCAGACATACAGTCATACACTTTTCTCTAAAAACGTATTTAATTTTTCTTGGCCTTTATTGTATCAATGTTACCTCATAATTTTCAATAATACAGCTTCATCAATCAATTTATTATCAGATACCAAAAAGCACAATAATTTTGACAAATCAGTAATGTGTTCCTTAGCTTTTACCCTATGGTTGGCACCAGAAAGAAACTAAATAACAAGTACCTTATTGAATAGTGATTAAGTGGAATAAATGATGTATCAATCTGAGATCAGCTTGGAGCTATTGCGTGGAAGGAGCCCTGAAAGGATCACACAAGATAAGCAAATGAAACCATATTCAACAAACTTGCGACCAAGCAGAAAATGAAAGTGATCATAATTCATAAAATGATCAAAATAAAAATGAACGTAGAAGTGGTTGATTGGTTTCTTCACATACCTTGGGAATGGTGAAATGAGAGTGCAAGGTGTAAGGGCTCCTACAACTCCAAAAGATCACCCAAGTTGTGAGACTAAACGGCAGCGTTTATAACCAGAGAGAGTTGTGTTATAGAAGAGTCTAAAATAGAGAGAAATAATGGAAGGAGAAGAGAAATTGAGTGAGGTTAAGCTTGTATGGGAATGAAGCTTTTGTGTGTGGCCTTTATATTTTTGATGGGTTGTTGTTGTTATTGTTGGTGCCTAATTAACGCCGTTAACTTGTTGAGATGGCGGGAGTTTAACGGCCATTTGAAGCAATATTGTGAAACACATAGAATAGAAATTTTAGTTAACATAATAAGACATGTTTTGTCACAATCACTTGGATTACCAAAATGCCCCTTTGAGTCCTAGTTGTTGTGGACAAACAAATCACGTTTTCCTTTAGAAGACAGATAAGATGTTAAAATCAGGAGGGTGTTTTGGTCCGAGTCTTGATTCTGCATATTCTATAGGCTATGGCTAATGTCATTACCAAATCCTTTTGTCCCACATGGGCATGGCTTTTCATAAAATTGTGTGCTAAATGAGTCTTGACTCACAAGTCAGGAAGGTGAGTGAAACCAACATTTCTTTTTAGGCTGTATCTGGCATTTTAAGCAACACTCTCCAACCCCATTCAACAGACTTCAACCTCACTCCTAAATGCCACACCAGACTTTCAATATTTTTTCGTTTAAAGAAAAGTTTCTAGCTCTTCCTTCATCAAAAAACCATTAGATAGCTAGCTAGTAGATAACTACACTTCCTCAAATTTTGTGCTTCTTTGACAATCCTATTGACTAGGAAACAGTAAAAATCTTTTTACATTTGATAATGTAAAGACTTAACAGGTGTGAAAAAAAATTTGAACCGAACCGATTTAAAAGATTAAAACTAATTAAACCCATTTATACAAATTGGTCTGTTTTGGAAAAAAAAATCAATCTCTTTATAATAACATTTTAGTTAATTAATATTCTTAATAAAAATGATTTGATTAACCATCCTTTTTTGAAGTGGTTTGGTTTGGTTTAATTTTAAAAAAATAAATATAAAGTAAATAATTAAACTACACCAAACTAGTTCATTTTAAAAAAAAAGATCTATATATTTTTAGAAGAAAAAAAATTCAAACCTGTCCTTTTTATATAAAAAAAGTTCAATTAATCGAAGTACTTTTATAAAATGAATGGCTTTCATTTTTCTAAAAATTTGAACTGGGAAAAGTCCTATACTATGACCCTATTTAATTTCTATAAACACTTACCGATAAATTCAAATAAATTAAACTTATCTTATAAATTAAAATTAACTTATTAACTTATGTAAACATAAATTAGTTTTAACTTATAAAAAAATTAATTCATTTAACCTTATTTTGTGTTCGTTATTGACTACTTTATACAGATATTTAGTATTCGGAATAATCTGTCTTGGATTAGCTTATCCACAATATGTACGTCTGAACTAAAATTACACAACAACAAACGTGACTCATGAAATTGACATTATACATGTATGGCGTGTTAGGTTGCATGTTGTCAACGTGATTTCCTACATTTAACCAGAAGTTAATAATTATAACTTCAACATTACTGATGTGATTGGGTAGATTTCTTTTATTTTCACAACTTACAACTCTTTATATTTTCAATTTTAACACTTCGCATCATTTTTAACCTTCCCTTTTTTTTATTTTTTATAGAAGGAAGTTCCTGCATTGAAAAAGGTCTGTGTTGTTGTTGACTGCAATTTCTATCTTCCCCGACAAGCAAGAGAAATGCTACCAATATATATATATATTAAAAAGGAATCTTCAATATCATGTCACATTCTGCATTTCTTCGAGTTAGAGTATTATTTTCAGTTACTAAACAAAAAAATGAAGTGGCAATAAAGAAATACCTTTAAAACAATATTTAAATAACGTATCCCTAAAGAACACGGATTTGGCAAGCAATTGAAAAGAACTGTTGGTAAGTCTCCATGATTTCTGTCATTAACTCCTTAATGATCTATCTATCATAGTTCTTCCCTCATTTTTCCTTTTATCTTTCAATCCTAAAACTTCGATTTTCACGCTTTCCAACGGTACTAGGTTCACATTGGTTAGGTCATTGTAATCAAAACAATGTTACTGGGACTTGAGTAGGCTGTCATGATTCACTTTTTTCTTATGGAAACGGCGTTAAAATAATCTGCCTTGCAACCAAGTCAGATTTTTTTTTTTTATTTATTTATCAAAACTTGTAAAGATTCAACAAAAAAATGATCATTTTAATTTTATTTTCATATTTTAAAATATATCTCGTCAAAATTTTAATCTGGATATTAAGGAATAGACAAATTTAGATTCCTATAAAATTTTACATATATACAATCTATAAGACAAGAAATTTCAATCTGACGGATTAAAAGTTATTCAATAATAAGTGATTAAGTTACACTGGTATAAATTAATTTCTAAAAAATAGGACCAGAAAATATGCATGACAGGTGAGGGGAGAAAACAATACAAAACAAATACCAGAGTGTACATAAAACATGTACAACATAGGAAGATGGATCCATATATCAAACCTTCCCATTTCGTTTAAGTCCTTCAAGATAAGACTTATCAGCATTGGTTAGGCGAAGTTGAAACTGAGCCCATTCACTTCTGCATCTGGTCCGGACCTGAAAGTATACAGCAGTAAGGGATAAAATGTCTAAGGGATAAAATGTCAGATTGTAACCCGCTTACAACTAATATAATTGTTCATGCATTTGCTACTGGCACCTCAGTTACTCTAACAAAACATATAAGAGAAAAACAGTGCAATTGAGTAAACAAAAAATTGAGCAAAAATACTTGGTATCATTATTGAACAGTAAGAATACATACCGAATCCCAAGGATTTCTTCCTTTGTCAGCTTCTCCCTGAAAATTATGCATACACATCTCAAATTATATAAGGAAATTAATACAAAGTTTCTTGCAGAAGTAAATGCCCTATGTACTGTCATGGTGAGTCCCTAGATGATAAAAACTTTGACTCAATAATATATGTTTTTCAATAACACTATCCATATCTTTGGCAATATAAACATGAAAAAAGATAATCAGTACTCGAGAAGACATTATGATGTACTCAGCATTACTCGCAAACATAGTCTGTTTCCAGAATTTGAATGGGAAACTTCCAAGACACAAGACAACCACCATACTACATTGTCAAGGCTTGACCTCATTATTCTCTCGAATATACCTCAACAACAATAAATCATTATCTTTAGGTGAGGTCGGTAAGAAGATATATCAATCATGTTATTAATTATGAGATTCCTCTTGACCAATAAAGCCTTCATTTCTTAATACTCCTTCACACTTAACTTCTACAATATGAACTTGTGGTTTAAGCCTTATTCAGAATCAACTTCCACAATTCACACACCACAACTATATTTGGTTGAGGAGATGAAAAGAAAAAAAAAAGGAGAAAAAAAATATACTCAAAAGTTAGAGCAACAAAGTCCAGATATCTTTCACACATATTTTATGTTGTAAAAGTACTTTTTTTTTTTCCACCTGATTAACCAAACATAACCTCCGTACACTCCCAATAAATAGATTCCTTTACAAAAGCACTCAATTAAAATGTAACCATCAAAGAAAATAAATTGCCCTAAATATGTTGAAAGCTAGTGAGGACTAACCTGGCGACCAAGTGAAGGAATTACTTGATGAACAATCCATTGCGAATCAATTACACCAATTTTTTCATGTGCTGGCTGATAAAACATGAAAATGGGATTCAAATTAAAACTAATTAAACTAAATCAAATTGCTACTTCTAAGAATACTTTATTTCTGTAATGAGATCATAAACCCATATTTATTACTATTTAGCACAAAGTATATAGGTTCCGCAATCAAAAAAGCAAACCTATGAAGATTAATGATAATGTGGAAGCCTCTTTGACTAATTCCAGAACATATAAAACCATTAAATGCATTTCAAGAATTGCAATTGCCATAATCCTGATAAAATTAATCTATGTAGTAACTTAAAGAAAAAGCACAAGATATAATTCAATAATATGAACAGAAACACACACATCACAAGCTTACCAAACCAGGATATGGTGCTGGATAAGTTCAAAAGGCAAAAATAAAAAACAAAAAACTTAAGCTTTAATTAGATCATTTGATTATATTCATAATCATATAGCTTCTTATGAGCTTGGCACCTGAAGGCCAACTAAAGCATACCCACCTATCAACAAGGCTAACAAAAAGGATTCAAAGTTCAAACTCACAACATTAGGAAAAAATAAACAGAATTTACTGACCTCTACACATCTTCTGAGAGCAAAGTCCAATCCCCATCCATGTACTAGATCATTCTACAGGTAGACATTTGAAAAGTAAATCAAGTGTAATTACGATTATATATCATGCAAGAGAAAAATAAGGAATATAAAATATACCTGAATCATATGCCACACACATCGCCAAGCGTCACGAGAAAAGACGGGTGCCATAATTTCCACAAATCTAAAATAACAAAAGATATAGTAATGTTAACTAAGTAGACAAGGAAAAGAAAATAAGAAAATCTAGGAAAATGATATTGCAATACAACAATTCAACTTTGAACAAAGGAATAGAGAGCATACGCAGCACAAGGAGGCAAATGTGGATCACTACACCAACCTGGTTTCTCTTCTGTAATCCTATTTGCCAACACATACAAAATGTGTTAAGACTAGGAACACGTGAAGACATGATAAAAAAAAGCACCTTATTACATCAATGACTAAAGTTAGAAAGAAAGCAAGGGCAAAGGAATACATGTGAACTTCTTTGTCACCCCTCCTTTTTGTCATCTCCCATGTCAATCCATTATTGGGCTCAAGACCAGGTTGAGAGATCTCCAAACCATATTTTTTCACTAAATTAATATACCTGGTGAATAGAATAGAGTTAATTAATCAAACTAAAAGTTGCAGTGTCAAATATGAGCAGGCTAGACAGACGAAAATAATACTTGTCTCCATTGAAGTGTTCTATTCCAAGATCTTCGTCCCAAATAAAAATATATTCATAGGCTGAAACTATATCAGGGTGCAAAAATCTTTTAGCATACCACCTGCACAACACCAATTATGAGAAAATTGTATAAAAGTAAGGGAGTAAAGCAACAAGATCACCACTCTCAATAATGATAAGGTCTTTTAAGAACCCCAAAGTTAAATATGATCACAAACAAATAGGCTTCCCATGTTCAATCCTGACGACTTCCACAAGTTAAATGCAAAAAAGTGATAGGAAAAAATTATACCATTTTGTTTGTTTCCTTGCACTAATATGGATTGCATTCCTTGACCACTCAAATTGATCCCATTCACTAGTCCGACCATCATAATGAAAGAGCAAAATTGCAAAATCATCAGAAAACTACAGAACGATTTCACAGTCAGCAATTTTGAAGAAGATACAAAATGGTAAATATACAAATAAATTCATATATATAAGAGTAGTCAATCTCTATAACCTTTTTCATTGTAGCATTGATATTATGCCTCTGTTCATAGCCAACAGTGAATGTAACTAAATACTTTGGCTTTTTCTTTAAATCCTGCAGCATTCATGGTTTCATTAGATGATTTGCAAGAAATATATGAAAGAAATAGACATGTAACATGTCAGCACTATCCACACCAGCTTATCAACATGCATGCCTCCTGACGCACTAACATGCAATGGTCTCATGCATGAATAAGAGCTGCATAAAGACACAATTGAGATAAGTGCACATCTCTAACTAATATGGACATGCAAACCATGCGTCAGGGGTCATAGTTTTGATTTGTATCCTATATAGCTACACATGGAAGAAAGGAATATAGCTACACATGGCTCTCTGTTTTCTTGTAACACCCACCATCACAACAATAGACAACACTCAAACAGGCAAGGGAGAGAGAGAGATGCAATTGGGGTTTGTTTCAATTTTATATTTATAGTACAGCATGAGACTTAGTAACTACAAACTACAGATAATTTTTCACATCATAAGTAACTGCTTGTCAACATACCTCACTTGGTTCACCCCATAATCTGCGCAAATAAAAATCAGATTCTGATACAATAATTCCAGGGGGTAGTGTTTCAGTTCCACGAGGATTTGATGGGACAAATATCTGTGAAAGTAGCAGTTTGGAATCAGACTTTATTTGCTTGTTAAATAGCATGCTGCAAATCTAAAGCAAGTATAATTATATAATGGTGCCTGAAATCTATAGCCACAATGCAGCAAGAATCACACACGGTAGAAAATAATTCTAGAAAGTAATTTAATGGTAACAAAAATCTTGACAGTCCATAATGGATCATGAATGAGCCAAAGCTATAAGCACATTCAACTTTAAAGTTCATCAAATTGCTAAGCATTGAATTTTTAATATTTTAGACTACTTCGGTACTTCCAAAGATGATAAGCTCCTGATGCGTGAACATCAGAACCAAAATCATTGCTCTACAAACAACTACAAACTGATATAAGTTCAAACAAAAGACCATTTCATTCGATTATATAAATTGTGCACCATTTTGACTAGTTGCTAAGTTGATATGCTCATGAATGCCAACATCTAATCATTGTTTTATAAGCAATATCCAAGCTCATAGTTCAAATAAAAGCTTACTTTCACTTTTTATTCAACAAAAAAACGGATTTTTTACTTTCTAATCTTCCTTGCTGGAATTAAAGTTTGTGACAAATTTTCTATCTAGTAAGTTTTATGTCATATCTAAATATAACTAAATATGGAACAAGATTATAAATAATCAACATCAAATAAACTTTAAAATATAAATCAGTTAAAAATACAAATATTATTAAATTATATATAAATAGACAATTCAACTTGTACATCTAAATCTTAATAATATGGGATCTACAAGAAGGTTTCGTTCATGCTTTTTCCACCCCCTACAATTAGAAATGGAGAAATAGTAGCACAATATGTTTCAAAATATTTATATAAGATAAAACCATGGCCAAGAAGTGATAGTAGCACACATAGATCAAACCCAACCTTCCTAAGGAACAATTTCACCTAATATATCTGTGCTATCTCTTAGAAGTTAATTATTGATCTAAACCAGCAGCTTTACATTTTTGAGAATATATATGCATTCACATCCATCTAAAGAATAAGCATGGAAATTACTTTTGGTAATCTAATTGACCCTAGGGTTTCAAGATTTTTGGTTCCAGAATACTCATCAAGAACAGCAGGTGATTTGTCTACTTCTGCCGAAAATCTGTCTATTTCAGCTACAGGTACATCAACAGAACTCCCTACAGATGAAAGTAAGCTAATCTGCAAAATATAACAAAAGAAGGGGAAAAATTAAATGGATGATAAATGTGTGACAGAACACTGAGAAGAATTAGGATTGTCAATATTACCTTAGTAAAATGAACAGATGAAATTGAAATACCAATAAAAAATCCAAAGGCTATTCCCATAATAGCCGTGACGAGAATCCGGGTACTATCATTTGGTCTTTTAAGTGAACTAAATGGAAGAAAAAGTGAAATAAAATCAGAAATTTAGGTTGAACAGACACAAAGAACTAGTGCATGTAAAAATAACAATAAAAACTTGATGTTAAGATACAAAACAAAGGGAAGCATCATTACTCTACAAAACAAATTTGTCCATACCTGCGTTGCATTATTCCCATCCAATAAGTATCGCCCACAATCAAGCCAAGATATTTATCAGCCGGAAAAGCCCCAAATCCTCACACAAACACCGCTGCAAATATATCATCCTTCAACAACCAAAAGTGTGACCAAGTATAAGACACAAGTAGAGTTGTAGTCAGGCTAAATATGCATTTGTTATTTATGTTTATGTGCTGTACTATACATGTATCTATCTATCTTTCCATCCAAGTGAAGGCACTCATGGTCATGGAGATATCCAACTGCATGATGCATAGGTGTGTCTATGTGTTTGTAAGAGATAGAGATAGAAAGAGAGAGAAAGAGGAGTAAGGAGGGAGGATACATATTCAAAAATAATTGCAGACTTTAAGTAACATGTTGAAGACATTAAGACCAATAGACAGTGCATCAAGCATTTAAAGCCACAATGATTGTGTTAGTGGTTAGGTGCTTAGCATGATGCCACAAGTTCAAACCCCATTGCTACCATCGTACCAAAGACAAATGGATCAACCATTTTAAAGAACAAGGAGAAACCTAATGTGGCCTTAGCATCAATACTTCCGTACACTCATTACCGGTAATAAGCACTTCTACCAAACCGTACCATAAAAGCCACAACCTATAACAGTGCAAGTTTCCCCCAAAAGAAAAGGCAAAATCCGCTAAACGAGCTACCGTGGCGTCAAATAACCACCGAAGAACGCACGTGCGGAATTTCAAAACTGCATCGTTGATCTACGTTACAGAATCACACGAAACGAAAACGAGTAACAGATATTCATTCGCGCCACACACTAGTGTACTCGTAAAACGGTAGCGAAAGCGCCAAGAAAGAGTTTCAATAAATTAGCGCGGAACACAGATTCTAGAAGTCGTCTTTGACAAGGAGAGAAAAATAGAGTTTCGTAAAGCTTACAGAATCAATTGTGGAAACGCTAGGGCTGAAGCTTGGCTTCTCCTTCGAAATCGATCGAATCAACAGAGAGCGATCGATTATGTGCTGAGAATCATACAGAAGGCATTGCCATTGTCAATATGTCAATGTCGAGGTTGTGTTGTGCAGCCCACACTCAAAATTTTCGCTTTGCTAATTCTTCTGACCAAACTACCCCTGCCTTCGTTTTTCTACTTCCCTCGTCTATTCTTTTTTAATAATGGCTTATGAGACCGTGTTTTGTGGTGGACACGTGTGTGTCACCTCATGAGTTCGATTTTGATCGCTCAACTCACACCGTTCGATTCGATTGGAGCCGTGCCATCAGATGGTTCAGCGAAGTCAGAAGCGCCTGTAGGGTCACCTCTCTTTTTCTGTATTTTTTTTAACACCACGACAACATCTTTTCTATTTTTAATTCCATAAATAAATGAAAACTAATGGGATTTTTTTTTCCTTTTCCAATCTCAATTTCTACATATCTTAATTTTTTTAATATCTCATTATTTATTAATTTGATTATACAACGAATAATAATTTATTTATCCAAAACAATAAAAGTAGTTAAGTTAATCAATTTCAATCAATAATATCAAATTTTAATTTTATTCTAAAAGTATGTCTTAAATTAAATGATTTAATTAATAATCACATATCACACCTAACATATACTCGTTTGTTTTTAAGTTGAAGTACAAACTTGCCACGTACTACAACTATAAAAATGAGTAGGTGTACAATAATAATCTCATATTTAATTATACATAACTAAAAAAATTATCATATCTAATTACACTTAAGAATTTCTCTCCCACTCGTTCACGTATATATATATATATATATATATATATAT